ATGCCTGGATGGATGGATGGATGGATGGATGGATGGATGGATGGTTAGACGGATGGATGGATGGATAGATGGATGCCTGGATGGATGGATGGGTGGATGGATGGATGGATTTCTGGCTGGATGGCTGGATTGCTGGCTGTCTGGCCAGATGGATGGATAGATGGATGATACAGACAAGCAGGAACATGGCTTCATCCTGGGCTCCTTTTCTCTTCCAGTACCTTAATCCCACTCTACTTTTCTTTCTAACTTTTAAAAATTGAGTTACATAGAAGAAAGAAGTGCATACACCTTGCATGTACAGCAGATGAATTTTTTTTTAATTTTTTTTTTAACGTTTATTCATTTTTGAGACAGAGAGAGACACAGCATGAACGGGGGAGGGGCAGAGAGAGAGAGGGAGACACAGAATCTGAAACAGGCTCCAGGCTCTGAGCTGTCAGCACAGAGCCCAACGCGGGGCTCGAACTCACGGACCACGAGATCATGACCTGAGCTGAAGTCGGACGCTTAACCGACTGAGCCACCCAGGCGCCCCGAGATGAATTTTTACATACATATACATCCATACAGCCACTGCCAAGATCATGATACAGAACAGTTCTAACTTCCTAGGAGGCCCCTTTCTCCCACCCCACTTTGAACAGCAATATCACCTACCCATGACACCACCCTACCACACACCCTGTGTGAACCAACAGTGACCACCCACACACTCAGCCACTGAGCCCCAGAAGGCATCCTAGGGCCTCTTTCCCTGTTCACAATGAACTAGGCCCCAAGCCCTGGCCTTCTTGTCTCACTTCAGTCCTCTGTCCCTCCTCTCATGCCACACTGTCTGAGCCTGGATTGGTGTCACAGCCTCCAGGTGCTCTGCCTCCAGGTCAAGTCTCCTGTCTTCTGTCACCTCCTCCATGTGGTGGCATCTCCTTGAAGATGGTGTGGTCATTCAGTGATTCCTGGAAATTTTCAGGCAGTCTCCACTGGCCCAGCTGTTCCTTGTGGCTCTTGGTAGAGGCCGAGTGCCAACCAGTTCCAAAGCTGCTGTCTAATCACATGCACCCTGACACCCCAAGCCTCTCCCTGGGACCCAGAAGGATGGGAATGGTGCCAGTGGGCAGTGCGCTAAGAGGAAATGCCCATCCCCCCTCCGGGGACCCAGGAGCACTCCCCCAGAATGAGAGGATATGATCCAATGGAGAGAGAAATGGAAGAATAAATCCCAAACAAAGGGCAGGAAATGCCATTCTAGGCTGGGTAGTCCCTGGGAAGTGGACAAAGAGATGCCTGGAAATGCCCGTGGGTGTCCCTCCCAACTTGGCACCCAGGGCAGGTGGAAATGCAGGCTCTCCCACCAGCTGGGAGTAGAGACAGTTCCCAGGTGAGTTTTGCCAGCACTCTCTCCATTGTTTTGACCGGTTTTCAGTGAGTGCTCCTCACAGCCCCTGGCTTGGCTCCTTCCTGCTCTTTTGTCATCTGACATCCTAGCTGTCTGTCTTCTAGAAAGTCTTTCTTGAGCCACTCTGATAACCAGGGTTGGATGCCCCCTGCTTGGTGCTGTGATCCCCATAGACTGTGCCTGCCTGGTCACTTATCTAGACTATGAACCCCCCAGGGGGGCAGGGACTATGTCACATTCACCACTGTATCCCTGGTTCAGCTCTGGCACACAGCTGGTGCTCAAGGAAACTTTGATGGGTGCTGAAATGAATGAGCAAATGCCTGAGGAGGAAGATGAGAGCCCTTCTCAGTCCTGTCCTAACCTTCCTGTTGTGGATGCCTTGTCTCCTCCACCACCCCTCCCCTCCCGCTTCTGCTTTCGGAGGAGGAGGAGGAGGGGAGGAGAACGTACTGGACTTCTGCCCCTCAGGCACCGTCCTTTCTCCTTTTGCCCACACCCAAGACCCCCTTCCTCAGGGAGAACTTTTCAACCAGAGAGTAACTCATGCTAGCTTTGATAAGTAGTTCTTTGGGACCTTAATTTTCGGAAGGTGAAATGAGGGGGATCAAATCACTTTTTAAAAAATGAGCAAATATTTCAAAGGAAAAAAAGCTCTGGGCTAAAGGCCAGGGGACCCAACCCTGCCAATAATAATTCGCTTCATCTCATGAGCACCTACTGTGTGCCAAGGACCACCCTAGGTGCTTTACTTCCATCGTCTTATTTAATGGAGGCATTACTACTATTATCATCAAAATCCCCATTATACAGATGAGGACACTGAGGCAAGGAGAAGTTAAAACACCTACCAGGAAAGACCCAAGTCAGATCTGTCTGATCCTAAACCCTGCCTGCTGGGCCCAGGGTCTGTTATGCCTAGAATTCGTGATCCCCAAAGACCGCCAGGGAGCCGAGTCTGATGTAAAAGCAAAAGAGCCTTTATTCGAGCTAGCTCGAGCTCAATGCCCTACCTGCACCCTACGCAGCGGTGAGATACAGGGGAGAGAGAGCCGAGTTTCAAAAGGACAAAGGTTTTATTGGGGCCTAGGGGCAGTTGGTGGGGTGATGGCTGTGGCCTCAGCCGATTGGCTGGGGAAGGGTCAGAGTCCTGTTAGGCAGGTGAGCGGGAGGTTACTCAAGGGGAGGAGGCGTGGTCAAGGTGAAGGACACAGAACAAGATGGAGTCGGCTGGCGTAGGCCCGCGCTCTCAGGTCAGGCTGCATTTTCTCCATGGCTCTGCTCCCTCCGGATGCCCCCACATCCACACTGGGTCTTACGGAGAAGACAAGAAGGTGGCTGCAGCAGGGGTTGGTACACGCCCCACAGGCGGCGTCTCAGGAGGAATGGGAGCCTCCCCGGCACAAAAGCCGCGGACGGATGATCCAGAGCTGAGCAGGGGCTAGGTTGCAAGCAGAAGCGAATCTTCAGTGTTTTTAACAAACACTAACTCCAAGGTAGCTACCGGAAGAAACATCCCAAACTGTTCCAAATTGCTGCTTCTCGGGAGCAGGTTTGGGGCAGATGAGAGGTGATACAGGACACTTACTTTTCATTATGAGTCTGCCAGTGGCATTACTGTGGTTAAGCAAAAATTCGTTTTTAAAAAGGAGTCCACGCCAAGCGAAACACTCTTCCTCCACTTGTAAATGTATGTGTTTCTTTCTTTTTCCTCCCCCTCCCCCATTCTATCCCCATCCCCTTGTTTTTCCAGGAAGAAAAAGTGTTGGGCATCCTGGTGCGGCACCCAAGTCCAGAGTGGAGTCTCGGGCGAGGTGGGCCCGGAGGTAGATGGGCTGTCCTTCCACGGCACCCACGCCCAGATGATCCAGAAGCTGGTGGATGTCACTGCGATGGGTATGTGACTGTGCATGTAGAGTGCGTACCAGATGGCCGTGCCTGGAACTAGGAGGGAGTTCCCGGAGGGCCCCGAGCTCCTTTCCACACGGTCCTGGGTGAGCAGCGCCTGTGACTGGACAGCGCAGACGTTGGGGACTGAAGAGGATGTTTCCTCAGGGCTTCCAGTCCTTTGCTTTTCTTCCTAAGTGCTAAGAGGGATTGATTTCAGCCCTCCTCCTCAGGCTTCTTCAGAGCACCCACATGGTCTGCTCTGAGAGTTTTCCGAGGCACCACTTATGGGGACAAGAGTAGGCATGACTAGAGCCATGAATAATCCCAAGGTTAATTAAGAAATAGTAAAAAAAAAAACACACACAAAAAACGGAGGGGGCACCTGGGTGACTTAGTTAAGTGAGCCTTGATTTTGGCTCAGGTCATGATCTCGTGGTTTGTGAGATTGAGCCCTGTGTCAGCCTCCGTGTTGACAGTGTGGAGCCTGCTTGGGATCCTCTCTCCCCCTCTCTCTCTGCCCTTACCGCCCCCCCACTCTCTCTCTCTCAAAATAAACAAACTTAAAAAAAAAGAAATCGTTCAATGTACAAATATGTAGCATATGTTTACAAACCTCTGGGACTTTACTAAAGGTTTACTCACTACCACCACCAACAAAATATTTATACCTCTGAAATGCTTTCTTTTTCAAACATTTTGTTTCCTTGGGTCTTCAAACCTTACGCTTATCGCCATCACCCCTCCTTTCTGTTCCTCACCTCTCTTCACCCCCACACCTCCCGACACCCCCTACCACAGAGCCTGACTCTTGGCCCGCCTCCTCCCCGTATGCTCAGCCCCAGCCTAGAGCCAGAGGCTTTGGCCTCCCTGAATAGGAGGGCGGCCACACTCCTGGAGCCAGGGGGTTGGGGGGTCAGGAGTGTCTAGGGCTCAGGTGGCTCACAGGCTCCTCCTGGACAACTGTAGTCAGCTTGTCCTTATCTCACTCACACTCGTCCAGTGCACGTTTCCCAACAAAATTAGGAGCAGGATCACCGACCACATCCCATTACACTCCCCTGTTGAGCTAATACGGTATCTCGTGCTAGTTCACTGCCGAGCGATGGCTCACTCATCCAGATGGGGTAGTCTGGCTTCCCAGCTACAGCTCCAAATGTTTATTGGGCCTGCTTTGTTTTATTTCCTTAAACATGTCCACTTCAACTCTTTAAGGGGCATTAGTTGTGAAGCGTGAAACACATGCTACAAAAATTACCCCTAGGTTGTCTACTCAATAGAAGTTAAAGCCTAAACGTGTAGTAAGTAATCTGGGATTAACTTCCAGTGCTATTTACACGGCAAAGCCCCTGGCCAGCTAGGGGTGGGACAGTCCAGACCTCCCCTTGTCATTCTGGCGGGGAGTCCCCACCTACAGGTCTGTGCTTCCGCTGGTGTGGCCTCCAGGGCTGACGTGCTCATTGTGATGAGCTCACAGTCCCTCCCATCTGCAACTTCTCACAGCTCACTGAGCCTGTCTCCGCTGTCAGCTTTACTGGCCAGGTGTTCCACACTTACAGTTTTCGGCCCTGACTTGAGACGGCAGAGTTCCGCGTAATGGGGGCCTCTGAGAGCCCGCCCTGGCATTTGTGAAGTCTCGATGACTAGGAGAGAGGAAGCGAGGAAGCATCACTTTGGTAAAGCTGCCATCACTCTTCTGATTCATATTTTGGGGAAAGACACTAATGGGCCTTTGGTTTTGCAATAGTAATAACAGAGTTCTGTTCTGGCATGGAGAAGTTTAAGGCATGACCGTGTAATAGGTTATGTGCGCTGTGGCCAGAAGTTTATGGGATGATGATGACATTGTTTAGGACAGAGGCTGAGACCTGGGTGGAGCCCAGAGAAGGCCGCGAGTGGGGGGTCCTAGTTCTGGAGTGAGACATCCGCAGTAGCCCCGCCCTCCCCCCCGCCCCCCCCCCACACTGCAGGGAGAAAGGGGCTAAGGTGCAAGCAAGAGCCAGGAATAGGGGCCAGCAGGGACCAGCCCAGGGACCACTGGAGCTCTGAGTTCCAGGATCCAGTTTTCAGCCATTTCCGTTCCACAGGATGATTCCTGGTCAAGCCTTTCATAAAGTTTGGCTCAAGTTTCTCCTAGTGTTGGCTGTGTTTTGATAAAGGGCCTGTGTCCACATCTAGGGTGACTGGGTGAGCATGCCTATGGCCTGGAGAAGCCAGTTGCAGTGGGGAATGGTGGGGCAGCCTGGGGTAAAGATGGGCTGGAACGTCCCCCGGGATGGATTCATGGGGCAGGTGAGCATCTTGGGGCACTTCCAGGAATGTTAGAGGGGGATCCTGGCAAGCAGTGTCTGGGATGCTCTCTGGATATTCAAGGGCAGGCTGGAGACCTTGGGCACATCGAGATGCACATGCCCCATAGACCCTACAGGAGGTGGGACTCAAAGGCAAGCAAGCCAACCAATAGAGTCAGGGTTCCTTAGACCCCTGCTGTCCTATTGCTCATCTGGGCAAGACATTCCTCTGAATTCATTTCATGCCCCTAATTGCATGGGCCCTGCTGATGGCCAGCCCCACCATTGTCCAGTCCACTGCATTCTGCTCCTTCCTGCCCATTCCATATGGGTTTCACTGCTCCTCAATGATAATTCCCAGATTCAAGAGACCACCGCTCTAGGCAGGACGGAGAAGATGTGGCGTAAGAGCAGTTCACATGGACTCAATGTATGTCAATGATGTGCTGTGTCTGCCAGAAAAGCCAATGCATCGACAGAAGCACAGTGAGGTAGTGGTGCCTGGGTGGCTCAGTCGGTTGAGTGGTTGACTTTGGCTCAGGTCATGATGTCACAGTTCATGAGTTTGAGCCCCACTTTGGGCTCTCTGCTTTCAGCACAGATCCCACTTCAGATCCTCTGTTCCCCTCTCTCTCTGTCCCTACCCCCTCACCCTCTCTCCCTCTCTCTCAAAAATAAACATTAGGAGAAGAAGGAGAAGAAGAAGAAGAAGAAGAAGAAGAAGAAGAAGAAGAAGAAGAAGAAAAGAAGGAGAAGGAGAAAGGGGAAGGAGAAGGAGAAGGAGGAGAGGGAGGAGGAAGAGGAGGAGGAGAAGCACAGTGTGAGGTAAATGGTCCCTTTCTCCTCAGTGCAGATCAGACAGGCTTGGTCTCACTTCAGATCCAAGCATCACATTTGAAGAAGTAAGTTTTGTTCAGGTAAGGTTTAGGAAGGTGAGAGCTTAAAGCCTGTTAAATGGAGGTAGGTGACTTAAATTGCCATCTGTCAGAGACTGGCTGGATGCTCACCACTTCTGTTTCCCTTTCCTGAATACATAGGAAAATTACATTTCCCATTCTCCCTTGCAGTTGGGTTGGAGCATGTGATTGGAATCTGGCCAATGGAATGTGAATAGTAGATATCAATCACTTCCAGACTTGGCCATAAATGCCCCGTGAGATTCTTTTGGTGCTGCTTCCCCCTACCTGTGTGGATGGAACAGTACCCCAAGATGCGGGAACCTCTTGATGGAAGGATTCTGAATCACTGCCATCACTTGGATGAAGATTTTCCAGAACTGGCAGCCTCTCATTGGACTTTGGATGAACAGAAGACAAACTTTTCTTGTTTTAAGGCACTATGATTTGGGGGGGGGGGGCGGTATATTCATTACTGCAGTATAATCCAGCCTTGTCTAATACAAGCTTGCAAGGTTTAATACTGAGAAGTAGGATAAGAAAATTCTCTTCAGATGCCAGTACTGGAAGGACCATGTACTCCAGGGGCACAGTTCATGTGCTTTTTTTAAAAAAAAAAAAATTTTTTTAACATTTATTTATTTTTGAGACAGAGAGAGACAGAGCATGAACGGGGGAGGGTCAGAGAGAGGGAGACACAGAATCTGAAACAGGCTCCAGGCTCTGAGCTGTCAGCACAGAGCCCGACGCGGGGCCCGAACTCACGGACCGCGAGATCATGACCTGAGCCAAAGTCGGCCGCTCAACCGACTGAGCCACCCAGGCGCCCCACAGTTCATGTGCTTTAAGGCCAGTGGGGAAAGTGGTTCCACTTTGGCTCATTAAGAGTTAAGATTTTCTGACCAACCCTGGAACGACTTATCTCGGGTAGTAGCAAATTGGTGTCATTGGTGGTATTCAGAAAACTGGACCATCATTTGGGGGAGAGGGGATATACCTGGGATAATTCATGGAGAGCAAACGGGATATCATGACCTGTATGGTGCATTCCAGCAATGATATCTAACATATAATCTAGCAGCGTCCTTCTGAGAGTTGTTGAATGAAAGCAAATGGAATAAAAATCCCACCATTTCTCCAGATCATTGGGTACTATTGTGACCTCCAGGTGATTGCCATCAAAGGCCATTGTCTTGCTAGATGAATTCCAGGAATGGAGGCTGTAGGATCGCCAGCTTCAAGCAGCAGATTTTTCAGAAAAGCAGTGAACCAAGCAGACCACATTCTGGCTATCTTGGCTCTACCAGCCAGAGGGAATGCGGCAGATGCGGCTGCATTCTGTGCTGAAAATTTCTCCCACTCTTGTCTGGCCAACCCACAGACCAATGTATATAAACAGGAAGATGAGCCCTCATCTTGCTAAGCAACACTGGTGAATAAAAAAGGAATCTAATGGCTCTGTCACCTTCCGTCCAAACCAGATGGGCCTTTTCCTCCATCCATTCTCTCAGGAGAGAAAGGAGTCTTAATCCCCAATAATGTCCTCACTTAGTCTGTTTGGAAGAAGGATCAATTCTTGCAGAAAACTTCAGGACTCCCGGAATCTGACCCAGAGAAGGATTAAGTGACCAAAACCAAATTTACATTTTAATATGATGCAGTTAATCTTGAGCGATAAACACATAGCCTGCCACTGTTGAGAAGATGCTAAAACCTAAAAGGGCTGGTCAACAAATGTGAACCTCCCCAAACAAAACCCAAGAAGTGAGGACATCCCCAAGAGATGACTCCAGCAGGTCTTTCTACTTTGGCACTCTTCCATGGTGAGCGGGGTGGTCTCTCTCATCAAGCCCTTCCTCACTGTGGGGGACAGAGGGAGTGATATTCTCCAAATCACAAGGCTGGACTCTGTCCTCAAAAGGAGGAAAACAAGTTAAGTCCCAGAGTGGATTTGTAACGATGTGCTATAGAGCTGAAGACACATTATGAATCTCAAGAGGAGAGAGAGAAGACCCAACTTCACTTGAAGGCTCCATTGTTTTTGGCCACTGCTGGCTGACCAAGGGAAAATACCCTAATTTCTCTGACTTTTCTCTAAGAAAACCAATCCCTGGATCTTCCTAACTCCACTGGGTATTTCAAGAGCCTTCTAGATACCCCTGGTGTTGGAAGACCCTCCCTCCCCATAAAGACTGCAGCACACTCCAGCTGTGGCTTTTTACTTTGCTTTATTTGCAGACTCAAGTTTGCTACGTAAATCCATTGCACAGTTCGGCACACACATACTTGGCATAAAAGGGAGGACCGTACAAAAATACAACTCTTGATAGTAAAAGGAACCACCCTCAGCTCATCCCCGTCCATCCTCCTAGTGGGAACACCCATGTTTAAGGTCAAAATAGGGGGAAATTTGGCATGAGGAGGCATGGAGGTCTCAACCAGTTCCATTGCCCCAGTAAGATTCTGGGCTGGGGCCGGGTGGACTTTTCTTGGCAGTGTGGCCTTTCTGCCCCTTTCAGATCTGGTCACTGCCTCCTCCAAGAAGGGGAAGAGAAGCTCCCCAGGTTATGGGAGGCCTTCCATAAGGAGCTAGAGTAGAGCTATCCAGTCAAAGCCAAAGCCACTTCCCTGGGACACATCCAACCTGGGGTATCTGCCTCTGGGCACCCCTGATTAGAGAGTAAGCAACTCAGGGTAAATCCACCTCTTGGAAAGGGATGGGAGGAGAGTCAGAGAGATCTAGAGGATGTTCTCCTTGGCTCTCCTTTTAGCAGATTCCATAAATGTTCTATGGATGCCAGCTTGTGTCTCCCTGCCCCTGGTCCCTCCCCAAGCTTGAGTCCACCTAGCCCCTTGGCAGTGAGGAGCTTGAATCCCAGAACTCCAATGGAAGTCAGAGTTGGCCCCAGCCCACTGACCAGGAAATCTGAAGGACTAGCATTTCTGTAAAGGTGGGCAGATCCTTGGAGCAGCAAGAAGTTCTTCTGGTCCTTGGTATGTTCACCAGGGTGGAGGCTCAACATGGTCGGGCACAAAATTGCAGGAGAGATGAGACTGGTACTGAGCTTCCCAGGACAGAACAGAAGATGGCGGGCAGTACCCTGGTCTACATATGGCCCTACAGACCCACTATCACTCTCCAGGTGGTGAGGTGAGACGTCTGGCAGACGAGCAGTGCTGGAGAACAAAAGAGGCAGGGCGAGCCCGGGGCCACCTCCTCTTCTTGTCCCAGGGGCTATTTAAACCATTATGGAGCTTAACCCCAGGCCTTTGGGCTGAGAGATGCCAGAGAATGAGTCTCCGTTTTGTTTTGTTGTATCTGAGAACTCGGAGAGAATGTCAGGGTCCTCTGTGAGACTGCTAAGACACTCCACAGGGCGTGTGGCAGGGGGCTGAGGTGGGGACTGGGGGGAGGGGAGACAACTCTGCCAGTAGTCATATAACCTTAGCCTCAGTGTCTTGGCACAGAGCTGTTATGGAGACCCTGGCATGTTAACGGTGAACACATGCATGCTTGCACGCACGCGCACGCGCGCGCACACACACACACACACAAACACATAGGGTTCCTGGCATCTGCCTCTGGTGCTTCTGGGCAAATGGAAACAGAAAAATAATTAGAACTCTGTGTGTTGGGAACTCGGTTAGACACACTGGCTTTAGGCCTCTGTCCTGGCCCTACGCTTCAGGACTGGCTGTTTAAAAGGGCCACAGACATGGCCCCAGGGAGCCCTGGGGAGCCCTGGGATTTGTCTTCCATCAGCCCTGGGGCTTGTAGAATCCACTCACCTTTCCTGTGAAAGTGAGACATGCCCTTCACTGCCCCCCACCACATGCTCCCAGTGCCTGACCGCCTCCCCATCTCCCTTCTCCCCTCCAGCCTCCAGGGAGGTCATCTCCCTTCCGACCCCTTTGTGGGGTGGGGCTCAAGTGTTAATGATGACAATACAGCTTCGTGTGTCATGTCCTCAGGAAACACCCGTGCATTTGGACAGGTGTCATCGGTGACAACGGCCCTGGAAGGTCCTGGCAGGCGTGAACCCAGATCCCCACCCTCATCTCCCAATCCCCCCCCCCTCACGCTCTGCACCCTCCCCCCCTCCAGCCTGTCTCTGTGAACTTCCTGGAGGTGACAATTCACTGTCTTCCTCTCCCCAGAAGCCGGCCGCAGACGACTCCCATCAGCTGATGGGGGCTTATCCCCACTGGGCTCAGCAAGCTGGAGCAGGCCCCCCGGGACCAGAGAGGTCTCATGGCGGCCCAGGCCCCCATCGCTCCCACCTGTGCTTGGCCACGCGGGCAGCAGGCGGCGGGCAAGCTCAGGCCTCACTTGGCCCCACACGGCGGGACCCTGGCTAGGCCAAGCCGCCCGCGGGGGTCCCGCCCGCTCCAGGCGAGTTCGGGGTCTGGAAGGTCGAGTGGAGCCTGGTCAGCAACTCAGGCTCATCGCTCTTCCCCGAGGCGTCGGGGGTGCCCGACGGGTAGGCCTCCCTGGCCCGGCCGGTCCTGGCGCAGGTGAGGAAGGCCAGGCAGGCCCCGCGCAGGCGGCCCAGGTCCCTGTGGGTGGACTCGCTGACGAAGCAGTACAGCACGGGGTCGGCCACGCAGTTGAAGCTGGTGAGGAGCAGGGCGAAGTGGTAGGCGTTGAAGACGGCCCTGGCGAACTGGCAGCTGGCCTCCCAGAGGCTGCGCACCAGCAGCAGGGTGTGGTAGGGCAGGAAGCAGGCCAGGAAGATGACCACCGTGCTGAACACGAGCCGCTGGATCTGGTCCTTGCGGCTCTTCTGGGTGCCGTGGCTGCGGCGCACGGCCCGCAGGATGCCCTGGTAGGAGGCCAGCAGCAGGCACAGCGGGAAGAGGAAGCCCACCAGGAAGCGGTAGTAGTTGATGCCGCGCTGCCACGGCTCCAGCGGGTAGTGCTCGAAGCAGACGCGGTGCCGCTTGTCGTCCTCCACCACCTCCTGGTGCCTGAGGAAGTAGACGCTGGTCAGCAGCTCCTTGGCCCAGATGAGCGCGCTGACGCCCACGGCCGCCTTCAGGGTGCGGAACTGGTGGAAGCGGAAGGGGTGGGCCACGGCCAGGTAGCGGTCGATGGAGATGCAGCACAGGAAGCCCACGCTGATGTAGATGTTCTCGTAGAGGAGGATGCCGCACAGCTGGCAGGACAGGTCTCCGTGCGACCAGTTGTCGTGCTGCAGCACGTACTGCAGCCAGAAGGGGAGCGAGCAGATGTAGAAGAGGTCGGCCACCGTCAGGTTGCACAGGTACACGCCCAGCTCGTTCCGGGCCTTGATCTGCAGGTAGCCGAAGTAGAGGGACAGGCAGTTGGCCGGGAAGCCCACCACCAGCACCGCCACATAGACCACCGGGGCCAGAGTCTGGTGGATGGTGTGGTCGATGGGACAGCTCAGCGACGAGTTCTCAGTGACGTTCCCCATCTTCGGGCCTCAAGGGGCCTCGCCCCTCATGGGCTCGGGGAAGGGGCCGGGCTCTCTGACGCCATCTTGCTTGCGGGATGTGGCTCAAGCCGGTTCAAAGGCTGGGCCTCCTCGGTGGCGGGGAAGTCCCTGAAAGCTGAAGGCGGGAGAGGCTTAGGGTAACAGCAGCTCACATTTCCGTAGCACCTACTGTGTGCCAGGTCCCGTTCTAAGTGCCTCACCCGATCGAGAAGACGGACCGGCCTCAACTCAACTAGACTATCCCAGCGGGTTGTACACCAGGATACTAAAATGTGAAAGGTGGTTTGGGCCTCCTTGTCCCCCTTCCCTGGCCTCCCGTCCCTTATTTATTTTCCTGGTCCCTCGGGGCAGCAAGCAAGGCTAGGAGCCCTCGTGAGCACAAACCCTCCAAGGGAAGCTCAAGGTAAAGTTCAGTTCCGACCCACGCACGACAGTGAGGGCTCCAGCCATTCTCTACGACAGCACTATGCATCCGTCACATCTTTCCTGCTCCAAGACATGTACCAGGGCAGTAAACACTGAGGTCACGGCCCCTCCTGGGGGCCTCTCCAGACAGCAGGGCCCAACCCTATCACGTCCTCTTGTGCTCTGGCAAAAAACAAAGGCCGTGCTTCCCTCAGGCCACTGCCTGGATTCCCGGTGCTCCCCAGGAGGTGCTCCCTCACCTCTTCTCTGGAGAACTGAGGGCCCAGCGCAGGGAACAGCACAGGACGGGAACCAACAGAAATGAACACGAGGCCGGGGTCAGCCGCTTACAGGCCGGGCAAGTCATTTACCCCTTGTCTCAGTTTCCTCATCTAGAAGGTGGGGATAGAAGCACTCACCCTCAGGGGCAGTATCAGGGCCACATCAAACGATGGATGTCAAAATGCACGGCATTGTTTTGCCAGAGGGAAAGAGGCCGAGTCAAAGATGGTATTTGCAAGAAGTTTATCGTGTTGAGAATTTAAGAAAGAAAATGCTATTGCTCTATTTACAGATACATTAGAACAAAATAGAATAAAAATTGTTGTTGTAAGCCTACTTTATAAATTATCTGATATATATATATATACACACGTATATATATATATATCAGATATATATATACGCACAGATATATATATATATGTATATATATATATATAATGAAAAGCCTGAGCTCCTCTATTGATTAAACACTCCTGGTTCCAGTGAAAAATCTCACTGTGAGTCTAAATCAGGATGTTTCAACTTTTTGCTTGTTTGTTTAACAGTCATCCTCCCCGGGGGCACCTGGGTGGCTCAGTCAGTTGAGTGTCTGACTCTTGATTTCAGCTCAGGTCATGATCCCAGGGTTGTGGGATCAAGCCCTGCATCGGGCTCCGTGCTGAGCGTGGAGTCTGCTTAGGATTCTCTCTCTCCCTCTCTCTCTCTCTCCTCCCCCTCTTCCACTCTCACTCTCTCATGCTCTCTCTGTCTCAAAGAAAAAGAAAGAAAGAAAGAGAGAAAGAAAGAAAGAAAAGAAAAGAAAAAGAATTATTCTCCCAAAGACCCTCATTAGACATTTTTCCCCCAACCACCCCCTTTCCATGAAATTTTAATACCCCATATGTATTGCATATCTCTTTGTGTCCTGTAGCCTTTTGGAGGGTGACAAATCATCGTAATAGCTCAGATTTTTTTCACCCCCTCCCCCCCGGAGAACATACAGTCTTATATGGTTGCAAATTCTGAATGAGTAACATTCGAATTAAGCTGTTTTGAAGTATCAGCAAATCAACCCTGTCCTTTGCATGGTCTCTCAACAATAGTCAATCTGGGACTCAAGGACCCAGAAGGGAAAAGCCTCAGAGTCTGCCCCCAGCCACCTCACCGCCAGCTGACCAGGCCCCCTTCCACCGCCATCTCCCTCCTGCAGCTCTGTTGTGGCTCCTGCCTGGCCTCTTGCCTCTAAATGGGCAAGAGATGGTTCTGGTCCAAAGCTACCCTCCTCACCTGGAGTCCCTGGGACTCCTTGGGGCTCCCCCCAACCCCACCCCAGCTCTCCCCTTCATGCTCCTGCCCATTACCCACATGGAAGGCACAGCCATCTTTCTAAATATAACCAGGTCTTCTTCTTCCTTGCTTAAAACCCACTGAGATGGCTTCTTATCACACCTACAGTAAAGCCCAAACTCCTTACAGGACCTACAAGGCCCAGCATGATCTGGCCCCGACTCCCTCAGCCTTGCCCACCACCACCACCCTCTGGCGACAAAGGCCAGCTCTCTGCGCCTCAGGCCCGAGGAAGGAAGCGTGGGCAGGAGGACCCAGGTCTGCCTACTCCATGTCCCCCCTCCTGGCCAGCCAGTCCCCACCTGAGACTCACTCTCGAACTCTCAGTCTCCAGAAGGCAGGACTCCCGTCAGGCTCACCTCTCCACCCTCTCCAGGACACAAGCCCGGAATCTCAGTGATGGTGGCGGAGGGGAGTGCTTCTCGCTGTTTTTAATTGTGGTTAGATATATATAACATAAAATGTACCATGTTAACCATTTTTAAGTGTACATTTTTAAGCGGTGTGAAGTACATTCACATGGTTATGCAACCATCACCACACCACCCGTCTCCAGAACTTTCTCATCTTCCCAAACTGGAAAACTCTGTATCCGTTATACCCTATTCCCATTCCCCTATACCCCATACCCCATTCCCCTCACCCCCCAGCCCCTGGCAAGCTCCATTCTATGAATTTGACTCTGAATTTGACTATGCTAGGACCTCGTGTGAGGGAAATCATTTGGTGTTTGCCTTTTTGTGTCTGGCTTATGTCACTTAGCAAAATGTCCTCCGGGTTCATTCATGGGGTAGTATATTGGAGAATTTCCTTCTTCCTGAAGGCTGAACAACACTACGTTGTGTGTATGTACTGTGTTTTTGTTTTCCCACTCATTTGTCAATGAACATCGGAGTTGTTTCTATCCTACCTACTGGCCAGTGTGAATAACGCTGCAATGAACAGGGATGCCGAGGATCCGCTTGAGTCCCCATTTTCAGTTCTTTGGGGTGAACACCTAGAAGTGGAATTCCTGGATCATAGGACAGTTCTATTTTTAATTATTTTGAGGAACTGCCATTCTGTTTTCCATAGTGGCTGCATCATTTTACATTCCTACCCACAGTGCACGAGGGTGTTTTCTTATTTTTTGCTTTTTGTGGTTTTTTTTTTTTTTTTTTTTTTTTTTTTTTTTTTTTGGTTTTGCTTATATGTTTTGATGGTGAGAGGAAGGGGGATAGGAGGCAGATGAGCCCTGTGACCCCTCAACTCTGCCCACGGCCGGTGAGTCAAACTTTGGTTCCACTCACCCTCCACTTGCCGGCCCTCCTATCCCTGAATCCCAAGCCCACGCACAGTTCAGCTGGCTTACATATGAGGTCAACAGCCGGACGCGTCCCTGAACTGTCCCCAAGAGCACTCACCCAGGACAGCCCCGTCTCTAGATTTACCTCAGGTTCTCCAAAGTCCAGATAAAGTCCACCCGCAGGAAGATAAAATTCATTCATAAGCACAGGCCCCCAGATGCCCCCAAAACAGGGCAAATGAAGCCATCGTGAAGAAAAACACGTCCTGTCGGGTCTTTGGAAGGTTACCAGGCTGAAGCCTATTGTTTATAAGTGGTGAGTGTATATATGTGTGTGTGGCGGGTGAGGGGGGAGCTGGGGCAATGGCTTGTGGCTTCCTCTTTCCTAGGCCAACAATAAGCGAATTCTGGCAACCAAAGTAAAAAATGTTCAAGCGTGCAAGGCAGAGAAGAAACATTTACTATGTTTAGGTTAAAACACCTCCTACGTTCCCTTGTAGCGAAAAGTGGGTTTGGGTGTTCCAGAGCCGCAGTTTTCATATTTAGGTGCATCTGAGTCACCTGGAAGATTTGTTTAAAACAGATTATTGAGGGGCGCCTCAACTGGTTAAGTGTCCGACTCTTGGTTTCGGTTCAGGTTGTGATCTCGCAGTTCATGAGTTCGGGCCCTGTGTCGGGCTCCGTGCTGACAGTGTGGAGCTTGCTTGGGATTCCCTCTCTTCCTCCCTCTCTGCCCCTCCCTCGCTCATACTCTCTTCTCTCAAAATAAATACATAAACTTAAAAAAAAAAACAACCTTATTGAAATTATTGAGCCTTACCTACCGAATGTCTAATCCAGTGGGTCTGAGGTGGGGCTTGAGAATTTGCAACATGCTCCTATGTGGTGTTGGTATGCCAGCCCGCTGACCACACTCTGAGTAGCAAGGCACTCAAAGCTCTAGAAAGTCTGGGATCTGAGTCCTGATAAGGGGCAGGATAAGTATCCTGATAACTCGAGTTCCCAAGCTGGGAGGCAGAGGTAGCTGTAAGGGGAACTTGACCCAACAGAACCCTTGTGGGCAGAACCAGGATGCAGCCTTTGGGAGGTCAACAGCCTGATTCACTCTCTCAAGAAATAGGGACTGGATCTGTCCGGGTTCTTACACCTCATATTTGCAAAATCTTCTGCAGTTTACAGAGCATTTCACCTCTGCCCTCTCACCCATCTTCACTACAGCCCTGTTATTTTCCCCATTTTAGGCAAGAGGACACTCAGGGATGGAGTGGCTTGTCCAAGAGTCCAGTTCCTCTGTGTTCCTCCCACCCTCAGGGAGCCTCCAGTCTCATAAGACAGAACAGCACGCACAAATGACTACCACTCGAGGCAGCGCACGGTGGTACTGTGAGCCCCCCTCATACTCACGTTTAATTTGGTTTGTTCTTTTCACTCCACACACGGCCTCTGTGGGACAGCCTCCCTCGGTGGTTTCAACCCCATCTGCACTCTGATGACTCCAGGCCTCCCACCAGGTGGACAGTGGACATAACCAGCTTCCCGCTGCCTCACAGGACGTGCTCCATGATGAGGCCCAGCCCCCTTCCATCATTTTCTGCACTAATGGCCTCTTGGAAGGGGCATCTCTACCTGTGCAGATGAATGGCCTTTGGCTTCTTCCCTTATCTTCATCCAAAGCATCCAATTAGTTACCCAGTTCTACCATTTTCAA